TTCTTCGCCTTCATTTCTCAGACTAGAAAAGACTAGTCAGGTTCAAACTTTTGTGAAAGTTACGCGGATCAGGTTATCGAGTATATTTGTTTTTGCCGCCTTTCCTCGCGATTCACGTAGTAGCGCAGACTTACCATATTACCGTAATCCCATATTTTCGCAGTGTTTTCCATTTGCAAGGAAAAACGACTATATCTTTCCTCAGGAGAAACAATTTTGGATGAAATTTCTGCTATGTGGAGAATCAGGTCTAGCAGTAGCAACCATATTACCAGAACAAACAAACAGCGAATGAAGGCCTAGGTGTTGAGGAAGAAAAATTTCTATTCGGTTAAGGAAGATCAGGTGATTGGCATTGGAGAATGCCACTGCCACTTTTCCGGGCTGTCTAAAACGTCTGCGATTGGTTCCTGCAGGTATCCACCAAACAGACACCACCGACGCTTGGATACACCTGCCTTATTGGGAAAGCCATGTATGAAACGCAGCTGTCTACGGTCCCAAGGCACAATGCTGTTGTTCAATCCAAAAGTGGGTGACAGGCCAGCATAGCATGGTTAGTAAACACGATAAATCGAGAAACACGAGCACAACAAATCGAAAAAAAAAACATGAAATTGGAAAGAGCTTCACGAAGGCGGCTGTCGTAAAAGCGATCTGGGGAAAGCAAAGTCCGAGACACATGAGTCGACAAGCGAGGGCCAGCAAGACATAGACCAGAAACAGGCAAACCTGTAAAGAAAACAGACCAGGGACAATCACAGAAAATTGTTCAAAAATTGGCAAATGTCAACTTTCCTCAGTTTCCTTTTGAAAGCTTCACAGCTGTTAGCACTCAAAACTTCGCGAGGTATGCACCGTAACCATCTAGCTCCCCGACAAAAAATATGATCGAATAACAGGTTGGCATGTTTCCTCTCAACTTTTGGGTGATGCAAGTTAAAACCACCGTGTCTATCGTATGCAGGCTTAAAGATCCAGCAATCGCTGGGATTCAACTTGACTTCACGTTTCAGGACTCTGAAGCAAAACAAGAGGTCAGATTTAGCTTTTCTGCAAACAAGAGATTCAAGTCCCACCTCCTTCAAGCGGTCATGATAAGTCAGATGCGGAACAATCGGGGATACATTTCCTCATCACAATTCTCGTAAAAACTCTCTGAATTCTTTCAAGCTTTTTAATATGTTCAGCTTTACTCGGACTCCAGAGTTGCGAGCAGTATTCAAGTTTAGGTAAAACAAAAGATTTATGAAGTCGTAACATAATCGTTGGATAATCCGTGTGGACATTTCGAAGTATCCGGAAGACCGAGCCAAATGCCTGTATAACAGTCTCATTAATATGCTCGATAAAATCCAGAGACTCATTGAAACGAACACCCAAATCATAGATGAAACTACTCTGTCTCAAGTCCACACCATTCAACTTGTACGTCTGCTTTTGGCCACCGCCTAGGTGCATAGAGCAGGATTTTTCAAGGTTGATCGGTAAGCAGCAAGCAGAGGCCCAATCTGCAAGTCTACATAGCGATGCAGAGCGGATCTTACCTCCTGAGAGTTCTCGTCCTCATAAATCCCATGGATCTTTATATCATCAGCGTACAACTTGACTTTAATGTGTGTGGACGTGATGATAGCAATTGGCACATCAATTGTATAAAGCAAAAACAAAAGTGGGGAGAGGACACTCCCTGAGGTACTCCACTGGTGCATATGTGCCTCTGCGAGTGGCAATGACCAACTCTAACCGTCAGATGTCTGTCAGGTACGAGGCGATCCATTTCAATAATTTGCCATCTATGCCCAAAAACTTTAGTTTACTCAGAAGTCTTCCGTGGCTAACTTTATCAAACGCCTTTGATAGGTCAACATAAATAACATCTATAAATTTTCCCTTGTTCAATGCCAAAGCCCAATCAAATAAACCATCCGTTAAATTAGTAGTGGTAGACGCCTCGGGAATAAATCCATGCTGTTCTATAGAAATAACATGAAACCTATTGAGCCATGATAGCAGTCTGGCCCTTATGATCTTTTCCATTACTTTCACTGGTGTGGGCAATCAACTGATAGGATATAGCTGCTTATTTGGTTTGTACCGGAAACTTTAGGAGTAGCCGTCACAATGGCTTCCTTCCGACACTGAGGCACCTCACTTAGCAGCATCGATATATTGAATATATGGGCAAGCGGTGCAGCCAGAGCAGATGCACATTTTCTATAGATGATCTGCGTTATCCTATCATAGGTTTTAGTTATGGACGGTTTGAGAGTTTTCAAAATAGTGTAAACTTCAGAAGGATGAAAAAAAACATCACTCAAGTGATGTGGGATAGGATACAATCCGTGCAAAGGGGTGTTTTCATCAAAATTATCACTGTAAAAACATTCGAGAAATAATTAGCTAAAGCATTTGCTTTATCAAGGCCAGAGACAAAAGTTGCACCGGAACTGTTCATCAAAGTGGGGAACTTGCCATTGGCTTTCGTTTTATATCGTATACACGAGTACATAGGTTTCATGTTATTCCTAGCAGCTAGTTTACGCTCCCAGTAGGCAAGGTATTTTCTCATGTGAGCATCAATGTCCCGACAGACTTTCTTATGCAAAGAGTTTTCAAGCGGATAGGGTAGCTCATGAAAAAGTCTCTGCTTCTGCTTGCTGAGGGCTTGCAGTTGCTTCGGGAGTTTGACTATGTTACGTTTAGGAAAATGAAATGGGACAAATTTTACTAAAGATTTATATAGTTCGGTGCAAAATCTGCGAGAAATACCTGCGGAGGATGTATGATGATTTATTTTTTTATTCGATGATTTATTTGCCTTTCATATTATTACAATATGCGGCACCCAAACAAACTGATCCATTCTTTTAACGTGAGTGATCTTACTCTTTGCCAATTGCAAGTGCCAAGCTTCTTATAAAATTCGTCTCTCCATCGGTTAGGGCCAGCATATCGAGTCGTGTTCTCTTAGGGCTTCTTGCAGTCCATGTAGTTGGACTTCGTTTGGCAGGCGTCTCACGTTGAATATTCCGATGCGTAAACAGTCGTTGTTGGGATGGAACATACTTGATCCTGCTGTTCCGGGGCTTCCTGGATCAAGGGGTTCGACGTCCGGTAGGGTGGGGAAGAGCGGTCAAAATGACCGACCAGTCGAGGGACGCGTAGAAGATGAACTCCCCCGGAGGATGTATACTGGTCAAAAATTGCCAACCAATCGATAGCAGAGAGGTAATCATTCAACGCCTCATAATTGACATCCAGAAGGTCAGGCATGGGCATTTTCACCTCAAAGATATCCAAGGGAAAAGTGAAAACCATGGCATGATCAGATGAGGCAAAGGGAGGAAGCACTTTGGTCAGGGGTTGTGTGATGGTCGTAAGAATGACATCCAAAATATGGTCGGAATGAGTTGGTGAGTTAACATATTGCGTGAAACCACTTTCCTCAAAGAACTTGAGAAATCGTGATGATGTGTGATTCAGAGGCTCAAGATCGGTCCAATTTATCAGCAAATTTAAGTCGCCGAGAATGACAGTAGAGTCTTGCTCGGCCACTAAGTCCTATAACAGATCGATAAGCGACTCATCATCATCCCGTTTAGAAATAGGAGGGCGGTAGACAAGAATAAATGCGATTTGAAACGAATTGTTAGTAAGCAAATGCTGTGTTGTGTCACAAGAGTTGTGTCACACCCCATTAACTTGCCTCCGAAAAGATTTTAGCGAACAAAATATGTAAAGTTGATAGCCTTGTAGCTTTCTTAGGAGTAGGTCCTGATTCATCTTCTTCGCTCTGAGTAAAAGCTGGTGAAAGCGCAGCTATTAAAAGCGAAAAATAGGACAAACGAGACTTTGGCCTGCTTTTAATTCCGATTTATGGTGTAGGTGAATTTTAAGCAGTGCTTTGTACTCAATGCAAAAAGAATTAGCTAGTTCACTTTTGAAACATAGTTAATTATGTTTGAAAATGACCACTTCACTTGAGTGGTCCAATATTGAAAACCCTCAGAATTTGCTAAAACTTGGACTGCTAAAACTCGCATGGTCATATGATGCAGGAACTTACGAGAGGGCATTAATCTGAAAGTTAATTAGATGAAGCTTTTCGAAGAAACAAAAGTCATTCATACTGAGAATTCATGTCATGTCGCATCAGAAGAAGTGCCACCACAACATCTCAGCGGTCATAAGCGCTCTCAAAATGTGTGCGGACGCGGAAGTTAGAACTACAAATTAAACAGTTTGGAACTTTTTACGACAAGCAGTTGACTAGTTTCGTCACTTTTTAGTGCAGGTGTACGAAAATAGAAACAAAGTTGCTTGAAGAAAAGCGTGATCTTCTTGCAATTAAATGGTCGTCTTCCATGCACGTGAGTTTCTAGAAAAGTGGTATGCTAATTACTTTTTATGAAAGGAATTTTCGCTTGAATATATTCTACTGTACTTCCGATTCTTTTGCGTAGTATACCCTAATAAAGTCAAAATTTTCTGATATCAGCATGACAAATCCCTGCTTTTGCCTAAAGAATTGTAGAAAAGTATAGGAAGCTATTGCATATCATTAGCTGTCCTCGTTCTATTGATTTCGATTTCTCTTTTCTAGCTGATCTTACAACATCTTTTCATTGCCCTACGAGGTTGGCATCCCCGGTTTCACCCCGTTCTAAAGCCTCCATCGTGCTTGACCTCCCATGTAGCAAAACTTACCTTTCTTTTGACTCCGACTCTCATGGATTTGCTGGATTTGCTTTCTACCATCCTTACCATATCTTGATGACTAGCAGATCAAAATGAGCTTCACCGCTTATCCTTCGTGACTCTGCGAAATGTGCACAAACATACAAATTTTCTGCTTTATATATATAGAAATAATGCTTTTTTCTTTCCCCAGTTCCTCATTTTTCTTGAACATAGAAATAATGCTTTTTTCTTTCCCCAGTTCCTCATTTTTCTTGAACAAAGTCAATAATCTCAGTCAATAATTTATAAATTTCGGAATGCTTGATATAATCTACGATCCAGCGTGGACTTCACAGTTCTACTGGCTACTTATCGTAGCCTTTGTGTTTGCCTTTTCCGTTTCATTCGGTAAGTTCTAGGGAAACTAGGTGACCAGCTCACGTATGAGCACACGGTAATTTTCATTGCCTAATTGTCCTTACTTGCTTTTTCAGGAATGGGAGCAAATGATTCTTGTAACGATTGGGGACCGGCGGTTGGTGCTGGTACGGTAAAAATCTGGCAAGCTTACATTCTTTGCGGTATCTTCAACACAATTGGTGCTGTTTTGCTAGGTAGGAAAAAGTTCGAATTTTGAAACTCGAGGTTCTTTTTTCTGTAGTAACACAGCCAATCAGGGAAATAGAAATCAAACTTGACTTCAAATTCTAAAATGTAAGATTTTAAGTACTGTCCTACGTAATCCGGCAAATGATTTCGAAATTAAGGATCTTTATCACTTGTTGAATGTTCGAGCCTTCAATCAGTCTTCTTTTCTCATTCATTATTCCACTTCCAGCCTTTGGCTTTGACCGTACTTCACTCATGTTACTCGCGTTACTCGTGTTACCGGTGTTACCAGTGTTAATCGATTACTCGTGTTACTAGCGTTACCGCTTTTTTGAAATGTTATTTGTATTGAAATGATCGCCGGTACAACCTCATTCTCGAAAGCTGTCTCACTGACTGGAATGTACAGGACATGAGGCGACCACACGCCATAGTAATGTATGCTAGCAATTTGACTAAAAAAGTTTTTATGACAAGTCTAATCATACTGTATTTGTAGCACAATGAGCTCTAACGCACTCGCTAACGTTTTGGACGTCTTGATAGAACTTTAAAGGCAGCGTCCAGGCAGATCTGGACCTATGGGGCTTTTACGTGGAAAGTACTTTTGGAGCTCTAACTAAGGCACTGCCGAAGCGGCAGCTCAGGTAGTGCTTTAATGGCTGAGATATTCCCCTCAAAACTGGCCCCCGCGAACGTATTCGCATGGATTCATGGCAGTTTCGCGCCAGGATCCACGCTTTGCGCCATGAATCCATGCGAAACACGATCGAGGGGTCCAGTTTCGAGGGGAGTATCTCAGGCGTTAGGGCACTACCAGAGCTGCCGGTTGGGCAGTGGCTTAGTTAGGGCCCCAAAAATACTTTCCACGTAAAATCCCCAAAGGTCCAGACTTGCCTGGACGCTGCCTTTAAGAAACCTTGTATTTGGTATGCAGACAAAAGAATATTCGATATTAAACTTTGCGGGTAAAATTTTTCCTGTGACAGCAATTCAGTTCTCTTCATTATCATTGAAGTGCCCGACGTACCATTGAGTCCACTTTTGGATCACTAGCCCAAAGACTTCAAGTACTAATGACACGCATGAACCTGCAGCCAGACAATGTTCGTAAGCTCATCACATTGTTAATAATCAGTCTCTCCAATTAGTTCTTCGTGAAACGCTAAAGATCAGAAGAAAACTGTCGCAATTTAATTCCCATTCGGTGGAATAGGCTAGCAGGAGTGCAGAGGTTTGAAGCCGCTCAAAATAATTTCATCTCCTCCAAGTAGAGCCGCAAGAAATGGGTCCAGATTCAGCAAGAGTCGCAAGAGAACGAATAAGAAGCTATATGCGCAAAGATATGAACATGCTCATTAATAGTACAGAGTGTTTTTTTTCGATACTCGTAGTTAATATCACATAGACAATCGTGTCTCCTTTTGAAATCTGAGTTTGTACTCAGGGCTCAGCAGAGGTGGCGCTTTCACAAGCTGGATATCGTTTTGTGGGGGAAAAGCAAAAGCGAAATCGTATAGTTCCCAAGAGGGTTTTCGGATCTGAAAGGAAAGCAAAGACAATTCTTACATATAGTAAACCCGAATTTGAGGCTCTGACGTCATTTAAACACTAACAGGTCAATTAACATGTTATAAATGCGATCAGTGGACCAACTTGTGTTCACACAATTCCCAACTAAAGTATGATCTAAAAGATGAACAATCAGTTTGTTTACAACGACTAAGCAATATGAGCCATCAAATTTGGTGTATAGTTTCGTGATGATGAGGTAAATATGAAAATCTACGAAAAAACTATCGTCGAGTCATTTGTAACTCAATATGCCTAGTGCACAGTCTACACGCTAACTGACGAACTGCAAAATTAGAACATGCTCATTTCCCGTGATTTCTCCTTTATTCCTTACTTCTCTTGTTTTTATTGGTCACATATTAGTTAGTAGAACACATTTCCACACTTTGTTGGACTAGAAAATGTTTTACTGGGAAGTCACAAGTATGGGTGCCGTCGCTAATAGGGTATAGTGTGCAGTCTCACACATTAAGTTACAAATGACTCGAGGTTATGTGAATGAAGGAAATTGTGTTTTACTATTTTAGGTTGCTCCCGCGCAACCTGGGAGCACCCTGAGCTTGCGCGAGACCAAACAAAGACATAATTTATCCCTTTATTCACATAATATTTCGAAAATTTTCACATAAATCTGTTCTTCAGTTTAAGTTTAATCTGTGAATCCCACTTTGAAAAGTTGGGCTTTTATCCTTCATCGCGGAATGAAAATGAGCTTCTCCACCCTCGTTTACACGTATATTGGAGAATGCTCAGTCTCAAAACATGATGAGCTTCCAATTCCAAAGATTTGAGTAAACAGATCAATAAATCGATAGAAAGGCCCGGCGAATCCTAGTGAAAAGTAGCCTACGTCTGTGTGCATACTTTCAAACCAATCCGTTGAGAGCTTGAGCGGCGCGCGTTTCTATACGCACATACCCTCCAAAACAGATCAAACACCCTATTTTCTGTTGTTTAGATAAGATAACAGATAAATTACGAGACATTGATCAAAACGTTTCAGCCATTTCAACAGAGAATGACGAGTAGTGACTAGAATACTCTCGTTTTTTCCAAGGTGCATGAATTACAAACATACATACTTTTAGTGTATCTAAATCAATAACATAAAGGAGAAGCAGTCGCTCCAGATTAGTTAGAACGCTTTAAAAGCGCTAAATTTTACAGAAAACAATGTAAATCTAACTAGTCTGTAGAAGAGTAGAATTTTAAAATGCATCAGGAACTCTGCATCATTATGTCATCGTAATGTACGCACTGAATTTTGGTTGTAAGAGTCATTATGATAACATTCATTTTTTCATTTGCAAAGTCTGGGGTAAAGATAGAATCTCCTTAGAATGTATAAATTAGAGTGATGATGTTAGATTAGATTTTGCCGAAAGCTACCGAAATTACCAAATTTATCTATTTTATCGGAATTGGCTAAGTACGTATCGACATCACGGCATCGCGGATAGCCTTTTGCTCCATAAAGCATGACGACTTGTCATGGTTAAGTTTTGAAAGTTCAACATTCTACCATCGCTGTATAGTCGACTTTTTTGGCACTGCCTTGTTTTTATACAGCTCAGACAATCGACGGGACCCCTCCGCCGGACAGTCCGAAACTGCCAGAGTCGCGCCGGACCCAGTTGACCAATGAGAGAGGGGCAAATGGGCGGTCCATCGCGGTGACATCACTGGCAGGCAAGTGGGAGGCTTCTCCGGCCCTGCTGCAAAGGTCCGCCATTTCTCCGGCGCGACTCTGCCAGATTTGGCGGACTCCGCGCCGGAGAAATTTGCCCGGCGCGAGTCCGCCAAATTTGGAAGAGCCGCGCCGGAGAAAATGGGAGGGGTCCGGAGCAGAAATGGGAGGCCTCCGGAGCAGAAAATGGGAGGTATCCGGAGCAGAAAATGGGAGGTATCCGGAGCAGAAAATGGGAGGTATCCGCCGGAGAAATGGGAGGGCTCCGCCGGGCAAATGGGAGGGCTCCGCCGGACAAATGGGAGACCCACCGCTGGGGAAACGCCGCGACCCTGCCATTTCTCCGGCGGAGGGGTCCTATCCGCTGTCTGAGAGATTCCTTTTTCCAAGCAACAGAACAGAATAATGATGTTTTTCTTGCGAAGATACGCTCTCGTATGTCGTTTGTGCAAGGCCTGAATGTGATATTAAGGTTACGGCACATATAAGAACTAAGAAAAAAGTTTTTTAGTTTTTTATTAACTGAAATAAAGACATTCGTCCAGCTTCACTCAATTTTTCCAAACAAAACGACAAGCTTTACGTACCCAGAAGATTAACGTACTCCATTATACAACGAAAAAGTTACGGAAACAGATAGAATAACCGTTTCAGCATAATCTATACTATCAGGAGATCTACTTTTACAGGTGTCGTTGGAGAGATGGCACTTCCCGTCTCTTCGGTGCTGACCCATCACTTCTACAACCAAAACGTCGAAAAGAAAACTAAAAAAACGAAGAAATAGCTTAAAAATGCATAGGTGGTCTACAAAATCAGCTGTTACATCTGGCAAAACGCCAGGTGCATACGCTCTCACATGTTGCGCATGGGCAATGCACACTACACCGCTACGGTGCGAAAAGGACTAAAGCGAGTTGATATCGATGGTCCTCACCGGTCGGTGAATCAACATCCAAACAAATGAGTCTATATTGGTGATTATTTCACTACTCAACAGCAAAAATGCGGTAACACTAGTAACACGTGTAGCACGAGTTACGCTGGTACCGGTAAAAGAAGTAACCCTGGTAACACCGATAACACGAGTAACACGAGTAACACCGGTAGCTCGGGTAACACGGTTAACACGGTAAAGTATGGCCAAAGCCTTCCATTTCCTGCATTATCATGATCAACAAAAACTTTGTGTGACCGGGGGTAAACAAGTAAATATTCCAGGCTACAAAGTTACCGAGACTATACGATCGGGTATTGTCGAAGTGGAAGTGTTTGATGTATACTCACAATATAATCACACCACAGGCAAATACGATGTGGTTCCGCATTGCGATGATGCTCTAGCTACAGGTTGGTCTCTCGAAAAATACAGAATATCAGTGGGAATATATAAGCGGAGAGCGTTTTAATGTAGTAAATCAAGTTTTCCTCACCAAAACTGAGAAAATAAGGAAAAGAAATAGGAAAAAGCTTAAATTTGGTGAACTAGCAAAGGTTTGTTTATCCAAGTAAAGGAATATGAACATGACATAAAATGACCCCTATTTTTACCCTTCAATGTTGCTAAACCTACAAAAAGTAGAGAGATTTATTCTCAGTTATCTCAGTTTGTTGGGAGTTAGAAGTACAAAGCTGATTGTAAATGTCGAAAGCTAAATATACTAGATTATGGCATGAAACTCCTTTGCCATAGAAAAAGCAGCAAATCTACTTCTGTTGGTTGAATTGATTGCCATAAGGGCAAAAAAATCAGAAGAAGAATTATTTTCCAGTTTTTGCACCTCCGGCATTGACCAATGATACCACCGAGGTTGAATGCGCCAAGTACACTGCAGCAGAGTTTATGATTGGACAGGTAAACAATTTTTTTTTGTAACTTTCGATCAATTTGCTTAGAGGCAGCGTCCCCTCAAAATGGCGGGTACCGTGATTTTACGGTGTTCCATTGGTAGACCCCCACATAGTCTATCAATGAAGTCTGGAGCAAAAAAGCGCTTGTGGAAAGCCCAAAACCGGCCTTAAAGTCTTCCGGATCCCGCCCATTTCCAGGCCACGCCCACCTCTTACACGTAATTTGGAGCGAACGAGGACGAAAAGCTTCTAAGAAAGCTCATTTTTGCCATTTTCAAACGCCAAAAAGCTCAGATATGACTTCAGCACTGCGAGGAGGATCTAGAGGTGGAAAACCGTGGAACGAAAATTTGTCGGGACGCTGCCTTTGAAGGCAACGTCCAGGCAGATCTGGACCTATGGGGCTTTTATGTGGAAAGTATTATACTTTTGGGGCCCTTACTAAGGCACTGCCCAAGCGGCAGCTCAGGTAGTGCTCTAATGGCTGAGATATTCCCCTTGAAACTGGCCCCCGCGAACGTATCCGCATGGATTCATGGCAGTTTCGCGCCAGGATCCACGCTTCGCGCCATGAATCCATGCGAAACACGGTCGCGGGGTCCAGTTTCGAGGGGAATATCTCAGCCATTACTGCACTACCTGAGCTGCTGCTTGGGCAGTGCCTTAGTTAAAGCCCCAAAAGTACTTTCCACGTAAAAGCCCCATAGGTCCAGATCTGCGTGAACGCTGTCTTTAAGTTACAAAAAAATTTACAGATCGAATCATGATACTCACTCTCAAAAGAAAAGCTTGAAACACTAGCGTTTCTGTCGGTTTTCGGTGTTACTTAATCTGCAAACCGTTACTATAGTCATTAGCAATTTTGCACATTCGTTTTCGCTTCTTTGGCTGTAACCCCAAGAATCCAATGAAAAGATGCTCATCTATAATATTGTACTCATAACCAAATTTTCCAGACAGGAGCAATGGCTGGCGTCGCTGCGTTTATGATCGTATCATCAGTCTACAAAATCCCCGTATCAGCGACCCATGCTATGGTCGGTGCTTCCCTGGCTTCGTCTCTCTACCTGCGAGGAAATGTAGGGATCAGATGGTCCCAAATTGGAGGAATCGGTAAGTTTGTTGGACTGTCATACGATATCCAAAGCCAATGAGTCCATTTTAGTGCTTTCCTGGTTCATTTCCCCATTGATCGCTGGCTTTTTCGCCTCTTCCTTCTACCTGATTATCAAGTACTCTGTTCTCTTGCGAAAGGATCCTTTCAAATGGGCTTTACGCATGTGCCCAGTGTTCATGTGCTTTACAATCACTGTCAACTTCTTCGCTTGTATTTTTGATGGTTCCAAATGCAAGTTTTACAAAAAATTGAGTTTAGAGGACGAAGATTATAGATAGGTTTCAGATATTGGATTTGATAAATTAAGTTGGTGGCAAGCACTGCTAATCTCTTTGGGAGCCGGTCTCTTCTCTCTATTCCTTCTTTCATGTCCTTTAAGAGTAACGTTTCATCTTCGAAAAAAAAGAAGAAAAGTGACATAAAAGATTTGCAGAATTGGCTTCGAAATCGAGCATATCGTCTATTCGAAAAGGAAAAGGCAAAAGAACAAAAAAGACTAGAACAAGGCAAAATTAGTAGGTTTTTGAATTTTTCCCGCCTCAATTCGAGGGCTTGATAAATGTTTTTTAGAGAAAAATAAAATAACAGACATGCACAGCCCTGAAGTTGACATGGATCACATCAAAGATCTTGCCTGGTACAAATATCTGTACACTGCCGTTCCTGAGGACAGGCTCACCACTAAGGTGAGTAAAAAAGTTACAACAGTGCTTAATATTTGGCTCAATTATTTTCGTTATCTAACAGCAATTTATTTGACATACGCCCAGATTTGCAGGTTTTCAATGCTCTTCAACTCGTCTCATCGTCATTGCTCTCATTTTCTCACGGAGCCAACGATACGGCAAATACAGTCGGTCCTCTGCTTGCCGTCTGGATGACCTACCAGACTGGTAATGCGTTCGGAGCTTTCGAAAAAAGGGATGATTCTCAGGTGAGCTTGAATCATCACACGGTTTTTGCCGTTACTGGCAAAAACCGTGTGATGATATGCTACCGTTATGAAGAAAGAGGGAGGAAGGAAAGGAATAAAGAAGGACTGAATAAGGATGCGAAAACTAAGCTTAAAAATGAAGACACTGGGCGACTTAGGCGCGCATTGACCGTAAGAGACAGGCACAGGGGCAAAAACAGATTTTGCTACCTCGCAACTTAAAAAACCCATTTTATCTCATCTTTTGCACTTTCTCGAAAAATTTTAGTGAAAGAAGAATTCAGTTTGAAGCATAATGTTCCACCAGAAATCATTTGAAAAATTCACTAAAACTCAATTAATTTTTAGTTAACATATTTTTGTTGCATATATTGTAGGTGGTATCACTTTCATATTCTTCATTTTGAACAGACAAATCTAATATTAGGGTGAACGGTAAAAAATGGGACAGCTTGATTTTCATTACATTTTACAATTTTTTGTTTCTGGCAACAGCAAGTAAGCAGCAACTCAAACGTCGCTCACATGGGCGACCTTCGCTTATTATTCTGACAACGCGTTTAAGGCTCCTCTTCCACTACCCTACACGTGGCGCCGTGAAGAACTCGAACAGGGTTGTTTGGACAATCCTCAATCTTGCACTGTTATACCGTAAAGTCGTAAAGCAAATGACATACCATTCGAAAGAGCTCATCGTGCTCTTTCGAATGATGCGTTAAATGCATGAGATTTCCTTTCAATTTCAGAAAAAAAATCGAAAAAACCTGAAAAATAGCTATTTTTGGCGCAACAAAAGACCAAAAAATCATGTTTTGCCCTATATTTTCCGAAGATAGATAAAATCTGAAGTAAACTGCATATGGATGGATAGAGCGTAAAAAGTTCTATCAGATGATACCTAGAAATCATGCGTTTACCTGCAAAGAATTGAATAACGCGTATCTTTGTTCTCGAAGCTGTTAATGGGCATATCTCCTGACATTGAGAGTTAAAGCCACCAAGCCGTCGTGGGTTTGGTGACTGTCCCAACACTCACTCTAGCAGTGGTACTTTGGGTGGTCTCACATGTTTCACTGCGCCGATACTGCTCAAACTTCATAATTTCTCGAAGTAACTAACTTTGCATTTTAGCAATTATAAAAATTATCAATTATTTAAATGACCTTATATAGGTGCTATCTGAAAGAGAATAATTTATTCTAATATCCATCAAAATTGGAAAGTTCAGTCACTTTTATTCCTTGAGAAATCTGCAATTATTCTCAAGGTGTCCCATTTTTTACCGTTCACCCTAATAGATCTATAGCCGCTTTTTAGGATAATTATAACGAAATTTTGAAGGGAGTAGGTCACGCAATCAAAACTTGAAATGTTAAATTTGATGGAAGTTTTATTTTTGACTGCAACAAAATTGCCTCGCCAACTACTAGAAATCTCATAATTTCTTCCCTTTATTATGGTGTATCAAATGGATCTGTGGATTGTGAAGGAGTTTAAAATTTTCCTCCGTCAGCTTTCCTGATCATAATAAACAAATTAATTGCTGTTACAGGCTCTCTTAGCTTTCGGAGCTGTGGCTATGATCTTCGGTTTCTTGGCACTGGGCCATCGTACCATCAAACTGATTGCAAAAGAGATAACCGTCGATATGAGCCCTGTCTCTGGATTCGCCATCGAGCTTGGCACAGCTTTCACTGTCCTCGTTTGTGTGAAAGTCGGTAAGTGTACAAATCCTCACAAAAGACAGAGTTCTTTATTATCTTCCAGGCGTTCCTATCTCTTCCACTCATTGCGCAGTCGGTGCAGTTCTCTTCGTAGGCATGACGAAATCTACTACAGAAGGAGTATCCTTCAGGACTTTCAGGAAAATTGTAATTGTTTGGCTGTTGTGCTTCCCTGTTTCAGCTGCAATATCTCTTTTGGTCACATGGTTGTTACTTCAGTTTGTCTGAAACTTCCTCAACCTTGTCAAATTCAATCCCACGTCTCTTTACTAAGTTTCGATAAGTCTTCTTTATCAACACTCAGCTTTGTAATTATCATTCTCAGTTTCTCAGTTTGCTATGTTTTTAGCCCATGCATTTTCAAAACAATGCGGTTTGTACGCTAAGAGTTGATTGTCCTACGAAAAAATCCTGATTTCGTATTTCTGCTCCACAAATTTCAATGTGTCTCATGTATTGTCTCACGTATATCATATGTAACAATTTTTCATGGACGGGTTGTTTTAATTTATTGATTCAGTAAATTGTTTCTGCACTATTGACTGAAACACAGAAATGATGCGTGAATTGATACGATAGACCAATTAAGAGACCAATTAAGAGTAGAAAAGTTGACGGCTACTTTCTCACTTCGATGAAATGCTCAGATTTTATGCATGGTAGGGAGAGGAAATCTTGCGCCAAATTTCTGAATCAAATTTCTCAGCTGGCCTATGGCAACGATACAAGCTGATTGATTTGGATTTTGGTAATCAAATTTGCTGAAACGTCTACACAGATGGAAATCTTTTTGGTCGCCGTTTCATGGCCTACTTTTTCTGACTAAAAGAAGTTCAGGCTTTCTCATAAAATTGAAAGACTGTCCTAATTTTTGATCGGCGCTTTTATGCGCCAGATAAGGCTCCAGAAAGGCAGAATGCTGAAGAATTGCTAAAACACTGCCATCAGAAGTACTATCATTTGCTCTCAAAATCAGCAGTGAAAGAGCGACGAAATGTTTTGATTGCTAAAAGCTATCTAGAGTGGTTTTTGCGATTTCACTCAAAGAAAAAGCACATCTTTTGTTAATCTTTCTGTTCACGTATACATTCCACGTACATGAATGTGCTGGGGAAAAGGAAAGAGTCAGTAACAATGTTCTTGAGCGTAGATCTTCCACAGCAAGTGGTTATCGAGAGAATCAGTGGCTGTTTTCTGCCCTTTCTTGCTCACAAGGTAGGTATTTTCGGTCGAAGTGGCTTTTTCACATGAAATTGCGACTATAAAGAGTATCTAACGCTGATTCCAAATCTGTCATCGTTATCTGCCGAGCGTCTCTAGACGTCGAGTTGGAGCCTTTCTAAGGGAAAAACTGAATGCGCAACTGGAAAAAAATTCGTCCAAAATTGCTCAAATGATCCAGTGTTGTCAGAACACTTCATTCAATAGATAACTTCGGTTCCAACACATTCATACGCAACACTGCTTGTTGAGCGCTGGAAAGACCGTAACGGCTAATTTCAACCAGATCTGCGTTTTTTGAGTTAAGAAATTAAATGCATAATTAGGATATAATTTGTCAGAACTACTCAAATGGTCCAATGTTGATTATCAAGGCAATTTATCTGAACATTACCTTCTGTCTAAAGCACTCATACTTAACACTTCTCTATTTGAGCGCTGAAAAGACTGCAAAATTTTATTTTACTTAAATTATACGGTCATTTTTTGCACCAAGAAAATATTCATAACTCGACATGCAGAAGCGCTCGGCAGTTAATGAAATCAGATTGGGAGCCGAGTTTAATACTCTTCAAAGTGGTACAAAACTCATCTGGAAAGGCCACTTCGACTAATCGGACCCCCCTGTCAGATACAAGTTTTTGAGTCATAACGCAGTCGATAATTTATAAAATATTCAAAGTTTTCCAAGCGCTCTCGATGATAACATATGTAGTTCAACGGCAAGCAGTCTCAGAAAGAAAGTAAAAACGTGTTTTTAATAGTTAGGAATCCAGTCTGCCCTACAAAGGGGATCACTTTCGAATAGCTCCCACGTTAGATGACATGGAGGTTATGTAGATAATTTCTATGTAATTACTGACGTATAACGTGACTATAGTAGACACTAAACATCCAGTTTGCAAAGTTGTGTACGCGATTAATTAACTTCAGTTACTGAAGTCCAATACTGATTTGTTGCGAAAGTTCATGCGTATTTGGACCTATCAAAAAAACTCAGCAGGGAAGGCATCTGACTTATTGTCAGATTGCTTTTCAACTGAATAGAAACATATATAGCTGAAATCACAACGCTGATTCCAAATATGTTGCTACTTAGGTTGTACCATGCAAAACTTTTTCTTCTTTCCAACTTTAAGTTCTTGATGTATTTCGGATTTTGTGTTTGACATGAAAGAAGAAAAGCTTCAGCAATGAGATACTAATGTAAGAATAATACAGTGGTTGTTTGTGTGTTTATGTGGATAATTAGATACCATGTTAGATATACATACAACTCTCTACGAGGCTCATATGTAAAACTATGAGTTCCGTTCGATTGCTCGAAAAGCTGGATATCGTTTTTGGGACAAAAAGCAAAGGAGGTTTCGTTTTTGTGGCCAAAAGGCACAAGATTTGCGACATTTTTTGGTCCACGGTTCGTTTTTTTTCAGATTTTTAGGCATTATGGTCTAAGGTCAGAAGGGACTTCGTAAAATTTTGCGAAAGTCAAGGGTTTTGTTTCGTTTTTTGCACTTTCAAGTAGCCACCTCTTGTCGAGCCCTGGATCCACCAAAGTAATTTAACAACTTAATAATTTCTAGCATTAGCTAAATCCTCTTATCCCTCTTGAAAGACATAGTAAGCAGCAACGTGAGCTTTCAAACGAGCAAAGAAAAGATGAAGTCTTCTTACTGATGTTGCCCATAGAGTTTTAACATTTCTAGACCTTACGAACTTTCTTCCCAAGAATTTTTGTATAGTGACTAGAGTGGGACAAAACTCCTTGTTTTATCACCTTCCGCAAAGCAAATTCTTGTCAATATTTTCTAGTTGGAGGCTTTTGAATATGCATTGAAATGACTTTATTTTGTTCAAATCTAAAATGACTTCCGTCTAGCTGTAAATCATGAAATTTACTGGCTCCCGAAACTGCAGTTTAGTAGCTGATTAACGAATGTAATTACGAAGCGACTCATTCTGAATTTTTTATTGGCCGTCAAACTTCCGTATGACGTAAATGCTGTGCGCGTAGCTGTGGAATGGGCCCAAAATTAGTATGAGACCAATGCGCAAAGCTGGACCAGCATCACTTAGAATGAGAAGGATACACTTTAAAAACTTCAAATTATCAATTTATCCGCATTTGTCTGCGACTTGTCTGGCGAATCTAGAAGATACGACGTGCTTAATTGTTTTCAGCGAGTGACGAATTTGATTTTGCATTGCGATAAAGAATCATCTTGAGCATCTGAAAAGGATTATTTACTAAACTGATCAGTGTTCACTCCAAACCATGTACAACATTTTGAACAGCTTATAAACGTGTTCCCTTTTGAGCATGAGCTATCAGAAATATATGAAAAATTCGCAAGAGTAGATAGCTGAGGTCTTGTTGAGCCTTCATACACCCTAGTCGCGCAATCTATTGTTGTATTAAAATTCCTTATTAAGGGCTTTTTCCAAACGCGAAACAGCGATTTCTGAGTACTGATTGTGAGAGACGCTTCGATTCCTCCAATTCGTCCAGCTTACACCAAGCAATTTGTTCACAATACTTGCCAGGGCGCATAAATCATCTAATAAATGCATATTTGGTACAGTGCAGCTAGGAAAGGAAAGAGCTACGATGCCCTCATAGAAGTAATTTCCGCTTTCGTTTCATTTATGATGAATGAAATTTTTTTCACATATATGCTTGCTCTGGAATCCCTGTTTCCTAAACGGATTCAGAAGGTGTGAATGAAGTGAAGAAGCATGAATAACAAGGATTGCAATCACGAAGCTAATTGAGAATTAAGTCTCACTGTTTTTGGAAGCAACAAATGCAATTTGATAGAATGCTTTCGATCACTCCTGAATGCCAACACGGAACATAATTAGTGCTTTTGTGAAATAAGAGCCTTTATGGAGACTTTGTTAATGCCAGAACAAGTTCTCTTTTCTTTTGCACTAACGATAAGATAGTAAAATATCAAGATTATTGAATTTGTAATTGCCTTTATGAAATAGTATTGTACAATCTATTTTACGGTTAGGAAGGGTCAAGTTTTGTGAGGAAGGATTTGGAATACTTCACTTTTGAAGGAAGCTGGTACCAATAGCAGTCTATCAAAAAAGTGCTTTTCAAAATAAACATGAATTAAGATTTAACCAAAGATACGCTGATTCTTGGAGCTCCCCTTTCTTTTGCCTTTTGTGAAGATGACAGTGTTCAGTCATCCTAATCCTACATTATTATTTTATCACCTTTATTACAAACTGCGCTGAATGTTAATCATTCCCAGTTTCTTTCGAAGCTGTGCTATTCAGAGGTGGGAACATAAATTGGATTCGCGAAGAAGAGAAGACAAAGAATTTCCATGATGAATCATATACGTGACATAATAAGCAGAAAAGTTCTGAAGCAATAAGTACCTTGTTTTAAGATCTAAACCTGCAGTAATTCTACAGCGAGCATCAACTGAGCTCCGCCCCATCGAAATGGGCTTCCTCCGCCTTCCGCTCACAATATACTCGCAATCGGCATAAGCTACTCCTAGCAATGAAAGTATTTGCGTTGATTCTAGTAGTGCTGTTGAATTTGAAGGCAGTATGGAGCATACGATTAGGTAAGTATTTTCTACCCAGACAATGCTCATCTTTCATGAAGATTTGTAAACGTCAACATTAATAGACAACAAAAAAAACGCGCAGTTTCCTAGTTTTTCCATCACATATCTTTTTTAACACATTCACGGCATGGCCGATTTTTCGATCACTGCCGTTTCGGACCAGAGCCTTTTTCGCTTTGTCAAACTTACGACCCACCCGTGGGTCGTATTGTCCGAAATGGTAGTCTTTTTGGAAAACATGTCCCGAGAATTTTTTCAGAGGGGTACTCGAAAGCGCTGATTATCAAAAAAAAAACAATTTATTTCAATTTTTGGAGTTATACGGTAAAGTTATGGCAGCCATCCGGTACGAAACCAACACCGTGGATCTTCATGAAAAATTGTATTTTGGGGTTATTTCACGTGTTGATCATGATTGCAATGTTCCACTTTGTTCATTACTGTCTCACAGTGGGGCTACGGTAGCAGCACGGTAGAATTTTCGTAGAAAATAAGAAACTGATGTAAGAATGTTGTATCAAAACTTGAGACTATCATCTTCGTAATCAACATGCTACATGACCTATATATGTAAAATTCGAGCTTCCTAGGAAGAAAAATACCAAAAATCAATAAAATCGATAATATCGATAATTTTTGATAACCTCAACCTCTTGCCTGCACCGTATTACTCTTGCATGTAAACTTTGATTCTCCAGAGACAGCATCATTCTGCGAAGAAATTGAGCTAAATGTCTGTGCCTTATACCTAACTACGGTATACCTACCGTATCATTACATTACAGTATCAAGTCCGTCCTAATCAGTGTTAATCGAAAAAATTTAACTCCCATTAGATTTCCAGCGGTTACAAAAAATTACTACTCTGGTAATGTACATGCTGCAAAGTCTAGCTGTCCTTTTACCGCTCCCTATTGATGTTTCAAATCAACATGCACATTATGAGCTGGGTTATAACCGAAACCAAGGTTGAATTCGGAGCAAGTGTACTCAACAAGTTCTATTTGTTCAATTTTCAGTATTCTCCGGTTTACAATCAAAGCCAAAAAATTTTTCATTTGCAAAAGAAATTGTCCCTAGACTGCTTATGGTGGCTAAAGTTGTCTTGCAGAACGTGATAGTCTTCTCACTGGTTAGGTTATATTTACAAGGGATTAAGTATTGTGCATAGCTTTTGCAAGAGAAGGATGGTTAGTCAAAGTGGCCGTTTAAAATAAGAAGCATACTGTCTTTCAGAGCATAAAACGCTGATTTCTGCCTTACTTATCTATATGCGGAGCGTTTCTGGACGAGGAGGAACGAGCGTTTATCTGAGCAAAAATTGAATGTACCACTTGGATAAAATTGCTCACAATAATCTCCTTAGAAATTGAATACAGCGGGGAAGATGATTGTCAGGACACTCCATACAGTACATACTTTTAGCTCAAACGTAGCCTTACTCAAAGCGGCCTTATTTGAGATTGAAGAAAACTTCAACGACCATTTTATCCTAATTGGACATTCAGTTTTTTGTTCCTAATCCTCATATCTCCTCGCTCAGAAGTAGATATGAAGAACAGATTTGGAATCAGCGTTTCATGCCCTCCAAGATGTCACGTGTATTATCTTAAAAGGCCAATTCGATCAAACATCCTTCCTCTGTTAGATATGTACGAAAACCGTACGCAAACTTATTTATACAAAATATGGGTTCAGAACATTTTCTCGAACGTATTTGTCCAAATAGAGTCCAGAACTTTGTAATCTCAGACGATAAATTGCTATGCTCTGCATGTGACAACACATGACTTCGCAGGGATGTGTTAAATCTAAACAAACCAACTTACCTTGCAAACTTTCGTCCAGTGCTGCAAATAACAGTTTTGCTACTTGCATATCAACGCATATTCAAGAGTAAAATGATTACACTATTATGGTTTATGAAATTTGGCACCATAATCGTTCAATAGAGGAAATCTGCGTGAAAAAAAGCACTCCTAGTTTTTTCTTCTCTTGATCGCTTTGTAAGATTAGATGCCTGCTAATAGCAGCAGAAACTATATCGAAACAGTAGAAAGTGGAATATTGGGAGGTTCATGTTCAACTTCTTGCACTCTGATTGCTGTACATCTCCAGAAGTCAGGCGGCTAATAGTATTTTCCCCTCCTACAATGTCGTAACCATAGCAGGGCGATATAAAAATTAGTTAGTGATGTGTCGCAAACAAGAGCGAACCCATTTTTTTACGGCTTTGAGAAAGCGCAAATGCACTTGTCCTTTTCAATCCAGCCAATGGCTGCTTGATTTTGAAAGAACTTGGTGTCGCTTAAACACGTTCTATTCACATCCTCGCTGAGAGCTTGAAGCTCAGCTATTCTTCACTGCATTTTCTACACACAAGGATTGATGAGAATAAGTCAGGCTGCAGCCTGTTGAAGTGAGCAAAATCTAGCAGGGTCATAGCAGATTAGGGCTCGGCGCGAGGTGGCTTTCCGAAAATGCAAGAACGAAGTCTCCCTTAATTTTCGCCAATTTTTGCGAAGTCCCGTGTGACCCTAAACTATAAATATAAAAACCCAAGAAAACGAAAATTGGCTAAAAAAACGTAGCCTAATTTGTGTTTTTCGGCAACACATATCCCCTTTGCTTTTTGTGTCAAAAACGATATCCAGCTTGCTTGAAGCCACCTGTGCCAAGCCCTGTATCAGATGCATTCTCCTGCTACAAAGCTCTCAATGAACCAGCCGACCCATCAGCAACAATTTTCTCAAGCTTTCACAAAATCAGCAAATTTTTTTTGCGTTTTTGCATAAGTTGCTGTACGAAACAAGCCTCAAAAAAGCGTGCTTACTTGTCCTTATCATTTCTTTCAATCAAAAGAACCTTTTCACATTATTCAAGTGCCCTTCTAAAACTACAAACAAACTAACGCTATTAATCTCATTGTTTGATACTACAATATAGGTCTCCTGCCCGCCGGGTACGCATGATTTCGCTCATTCGCCTAGGTGCTTATCCCTCTTTCTTCGCTCGAAAGTGACCGTATATTTATATACCGTCACGCATCGTACTTGGACTTGTACTTATATCAAGTTTAGTCCCCACGACACTGACTTTCTGACTTTGAAGACAACACTGACGAGCACCTAGTTTAGAGAATTACTCTCCTCAATTTCTCTAGGGTGTTGAGCATGTTACAATTTCGTTTCATCACTGTTTTTGTCTGTCGTTGCGTTCGTGTCTTAGTACTGGCGCACTGTGCACAACAGTGTATCAATAAATAAATAAATAAAATACTATGGCTTATTGAGAATGAAGATTTCAAAAACTCTGGTAACTACATAACCTTTGTCATTTCAAAACATTTATAGTTTTAAAACTACAATACAACACTGAACAAAATTTTTCTCCAGCATAGGCTTATACACGATTCTAGAATTAAACATGGAAAGAGTAAGTGCCTTCGTCAATTCTCGCTAGAATTCAACCTTTTGAGCGCACTATTTTCAACACTGGTAGAATTTTTACTCTCAACATGTAAGTTCAGCGTTGATCCTCCCGCTTATAAGCAGAAATACTGTAGCATATTGTGGTTAATTTACAAAAAACGAATCACCACCCCGAAAAGTTTTGCCTTATTAGAATATATAATTACAAATTTCAGCGATCCTTCCGCCTGTGCTTTCACAGAACTCATGGAGTAATATTGGATTCCCCAACAGCCTGCGCTTCGTCGATGAAGTTCCCAGAAGAAATGTTCGAGAACCAAGGAAGAACTACCCTGCTAGCTTTTGGTTTCGCGGGTAACATTGTTGCAAATAAACTATTTATTTAGAGGTAGAAGCCTGTTAATTTGCTTACCTCTCATATCTGAGAGTCTTGGAGTCCCTACAGATATTTTGCGTTGTCAAAATTGTGTGGGGTACTCGGGTAGCCATAGTAAACATAAAAGCGTTCAGGCAACTGTTCAAAATTGTGGCTTGTCTTATGTAAATGCCGTTTACAACACACCAACAACGTGACCAATTTTCGTATCAAAATTATCTTTAAAGCCGAACCTACCCTAGATGCCGATAGCAGAATCCGTGTTCTTTCGCTGGAAATCCATAATGTCTTGAAAAGGTTCGCACACGACCGCAAGACTAATTTGACACATTGCGAATGGAAAGGGTTTAAAGAGTTACGTGAATCTGTCGAAAAACACTCAATCCGAATATCTGTAAGCGACAAAGGGGGCGAATTTGTTGTGATGCCGCAGTCCTTAGACAAAGAAATTGCTGAGCTACATCTAGCAGACACGACAGTCTATAGGCCTGCGTCTAAGAAGGATTATCAGAATCAATATAGAAAACTAAACGACATTTGGACTAATGTGGCTAGATGCGCTGGTTTAGATGAACGATTTGTAAGTAGGTTAAAGTTAGACACTCCAAATTGTCCAGTTTTCTATCATCTGATAAAAACGCACAAAATCGCGTCGCAAGATTTACACTCTATGTCGCCCGAAGTCTTTAACACCCGACCCATAATTAGCTGTATTGGCGGACCGACAGATCGTATTTCGTGGTTTCTGAATAAAATCGTGAGCCAGCTCTTGACAAAGGTACCGGCACACTTATCTAACACAGCAATTCCTAGAGCTATTGCACAACACGAAGCTTGAACCTAGTGTTTTCATGGAGTCCTTCGATGTGACTTCCTTGCACACTAACGTTCACAACGATGATGCATTACAAGCTCTCTCGGAAATGTTAGATAAGCATATAACGACCATAAGTACCTTTGGACTGAGTAAAACGCAAGTACTGATCCTCACACGAGCATGCTTGAGTTGCAACATCTTTAAATGGTCTGGAAGATACTTCTCCCAGATCCGAGGACTCGCAATGGGCCAGCGCTTAGCGCCAGTCCTTGCTGTGTGCTTTATGAGTAGAATTGAGGAGCCAGTGCTTGAGCGTATGCCACTGATGTACTGTCGTTACATCGATGACTGCTGCGTCATAACGTCTACTCAATCCGAAATGGATGAGTGTTTCAAGTTGCTAAACCAGCAGTCCGAGTACATCAAGCTCACTCGAGAAACCCCACGAAACGGGTGGCTTCCTTACCTTAACACTCAGATCAACTTTTTCGGTGGTGTTTTCCATGTTAAATGGTATCGTAAAGGAAGCTCTAAGAACATCTTGGTCCATGCCAAATCGGCTCACCCCACAGAGATGAAAAAAGCGGTTATTCATAATATGTTGAAGACTGCTTCGATGGTGTGCACGGGTCACGAAGAACGGTTTGAGTCACGAAAGCTTGCATCGCAAATCGCGCGCAGCAACGGATATGTTTTGCAAGAACATCGGCGTGTTAAACAACATCCCGAAAATCATATCCGAACTCAATGCGATAAGATCCCTCTTTGCATGCCGTTTATTTCAGACGAAGTTAGTAAGGCAATCAAACAATGCATTCATAGAGCGAAACTGCAGGATGATGTGATGCTTGTCAATATCCCGAATAGTAATATAAAGAAGCAATTGGTGCGAAACAGGCTTTATGATAGCGATTGCATGATGGAGCATTGTATTGTTTGCCCCTATGGCAGAGTAGGAGATTGTGCAAAGGCGGGTGTGGTGTACCAGCTAGAATGTCTGACTTGCCATAGCTGTTATATCGGAGAGACGGGTAGAAATCTAGGTGTAAGGTTAAAGGAACACTTAGCCAGCAAAAGACGAGGGACTCAAACAGCACCGTTGGGACGGCATAAGACTGAGGTACATGGCGGAAATGATTATGAAGTTAAATGTACAATTCTGACCTATGAAACCGAGATATGCGCCAGGAAACTCTTCGAAGCCGCATGGATCAGTATCAAAAATCCAGAGCTGAACGTCAAAAATGAGTGTTTGTCTATCAGTAGTGACTTAGCTCCATTCATAACTTATGTGAGCTTAGTGACGCACATAAAAGGCCTTGACTCACTGAGTGACACTCAGTGACGTCCGTTACCATCAAATGTGCGGGCTCGCTAGCTGGTGGAGTCAAGGTTTGTTCGTTTCCTGGCTTTGAGGGTCTCATGCTGTGAGTCTAGACTAGGTCTAGACTGACACAGTGGGAAGAGGCGCTTGAAGGTATGGTGAGCAAGTCAAATAGCCTACAATCCGTTTTCAGACCTCTGATGATGACGCCGATGTCAAAACGTTAGGTCAATAAAGTCTCCACCGCAGAATCTGGTTGGCAAACACATTACTTACTGACATAAACTATCATGCCCAGATTCAAAGATAAAAGAGCATTCAACTTATCTTTGAAATTACTATTGTTATTCGTATTTCACATTTATTTCAAGTTACATGATTGGCATTGTGTATTCCAAATTTTATGTTCTCTAAGACCAGTGAATTTGGACGCAAATAATTTTACTCAGCTTACGATGAGGCTGCTGAGTATGAGGCGACTTGTGGAGTGTGCTTATCCAACTATTTACGGTGTCACAGCTGCGAAAAAGCATTCTAGAGATCACAAAATTGTCTGAGATTAGAGTATTCTGGGCATAGGCCATGGCAATATCAAAAGAAAGGCTCTCAATTCCAATGGTCGGCCAATGAGAAAGTGGGATTTTGGAAAGTCTGCTGAAGGCTGATCACAGCTATAAGACCGCCTATTTATAATCAATGCTACAATACCGCTCATAGTTTTTAGAAAAGAAAAGCAAATCGAGGTGGACTTAAGAGACCGTCGCGTTATGAATGTCATACAACCACTCACGGTGGAATTTCGACAGGGTATGTGGTCTTTACATTTTGCGCAAAATTCATGAGGGCCTCTTTTCGTGCTGTAACTCGGCGCCACTATTCGATGGCATAGTTCGTAGTAACTTCAATCTATAAAAGAAAGCAGACACGTTTCCTGACAGATGCTGAAAGTGCAGGGGAAGTTACGAACTTTCGTAACATAGTTACAGTTCCGTCACTGTAGCTCTGCAAAAGGACTCTGCGTTCGACAGAGACCACGATTTTTATAAACAGCGTGTTCGAGTCTAAGAGTGAAGTTTTCTTTGAAACCAAGATCATCGACATTTTGACCAAAACCCACTGGCGAGCTTCAGAGCGTGAAACGAGAAAAAAATCAAAAACCCGAAGTACATTGAAAACTTGCTCATAGAGGTTATCTAACCTGTTGATTACGAAACTCACATCTGCTCGGCAAGATAGCTTCGTATTCCAAGGCTACAGCGAGTAGAATTTGGGACGACAAAATTTTTCCACAATATCGAGGACGTGCTCTATATTAAAAGATTCGACTTGATGAGCTGAGCACAGCGCTTTTTTCAGAATGAACTTATCCCACAGGAAGCTATGCGAGTAGAATTTAATAACGCTGATTTTTCCAGAATTCACCAACGCTTCTGTTTTTGAAGAAGTGTGAGGCTATTTTTTAGCGCACACTAATCCACAAGAACAGTATTATCGATTAGCACACTAATCCACAAGAACAGTATTATCGAATAGCACTTAGTGGAAGTTTCTATGTTGGATAGGCGCTGCATCACATTTTTGTCAAGACCTCCGTAGAAAAATTTGAGAAAACTGGAAGTGAAGATATCGTACCCCCACTTCCAATTTATGAGAAGATGCTCCGCGCCGAGCTGAGTCGAATGGTGGCTCCGGATCCAGAATTTCCATTCTGAAGCAGGATATGGCCACCCGACGGTGATGTCACATGAATTAGGCGACCGTCGCATAACTCACGCATGACTTGTGCCGATGTAATCGGCACCTCTCTTTGTAGCCTAATTCTTATGCCAGATTGCCGTAAAGGTCATGCCAGAAGCATGACCTGCTGTAAGATATCGTACCCCCACTTCCAATTTATGAGAAGATGCTCCGCGCCGAGCTGAGTCGAATGGTGGCTCCGGATCCAGAATTTCCATTCTGAAGCAGGATATGGCCACCCGACGGTGATGTCACATGAATTAGGCGACCGTCGCATAACTCACGCATGACTTGTGCCGATGTAATCGGCACCTCTCTTTGTAGCCTAATTCTTATGCCAGATTGCCGTAAAGGTCATGCCAGAAGCATGACCTGCTGTGATATGACTGTGTTGATTGCCCAGATGCATGCCAAGTCACTTTGCTCCGCCTGTTATCCTCAGCATTCTACCACTGTCCCAATGCGGACAAGTAGTCTGACTAAATAAATCTGCCAGGCTAGTGTATTGTCCAAACCTGCAGATACTCCTATAAGGCGAAAACTACGCCTACCGCTACGTCAACGTACGTCAGCCATTACATTTCTGGTGCATCGGCTAAACAAGACCGATACCATGCTCCGCTCCCAAGGACAAGACAGAAGCCACAATGAAGCAATTCCAACCTTGTATCATCATAGGAAGGATGTGAAGATACACGCTAAAAGACTCGCGGAACTACTACGAAAGTACGCGAGCTACGGTGAGAAAATATTATTTCCAGACGATATACAGGAACGACAAGAAACATGCGTCGACAAATTCCACGCACTACCAAAGTGCATTTTCGACGTCCTCCTGGGCTTACACTTGATGCGATCGAAAACCGACGTGCTAAAGAAGCTGCGTATAAGCGAGTACAAGATCAAGAAGCTAGTGGCAGAAGATTCGGATTCGCTCGACAAAGAGTCAAATCACTAGTGATGCCCAAATGTTTATTTACACGCTAGAAGAATGTGAATCAAAGCTAAAGATAGAACTATCCAGACTGGAACGTAGAAAATCGTTCAATTCACTGCAAAAACTAACAGAAACGAGGATACCTTTTTGGAACCAGCAACCAAAGAAGAGAATTACAACGTGCCCATCCCAATTATCGATGAGGATGGCTTTAGCTGCGCGACAATTGAAGCAAAAGAATCACAGGAAACCGAGGTGCAGTTAGACCATGGCAACGATGACCAATCCACGGACTCAACCTTCCTCGTCCACGCTGTGGCATCTCTGCAGGCCATGGCACTTCCAGTAACAGGAGAAGTAAAGACAGCCGTCTTCAATGATGAGCGAATTCCCGTTTTATTCCCATATAAGAGTATTGTGCACATTGACAATATCTCTGAGCGCAAATCTTTATCACTCTATCGTGATGAATGTGCTAATACAAAACTTCATTTTCATTCAATTTCATTGTCTGCTTATTCCAACCATCTGCCTTTTGTCGTCGCCACGTCCGCTCATATTTCGCAAATCTCAAGACAATTCGAGCTGTACGCGCCACTCACCAACGACCACTGCTCTATCCAGACAAAAAGAAGAAAGTACGAAATGGAGTAGATTATTTGATGTGTTTCTATCATGTCCTCTTCTTCCCTCTTCTTAGGGCTTCATAGATGGGCGGCCGCAGTGTGCCGATGTAATCGGCACCTCTCTTTGTAGCCTAATCCTTATGCCAGATTGCCGTAAAGGTCATGCCAGAAGCATGACCTGCTGTGATATGACTGTGTTGATTGCCCAGATGCGTGCCAAGTTACTTTGCTCCGCCTGTTATCCTCAGCATTCTACCACTGTCCCAATGCGGACAAGTCGTCTGACTCAATAAATCTGCCAGGCTAGTGTATCGTCCACAACTGCAGATACTCCTATAAGGCGAAAACTATGCCTACGGCTACGTCAACGTACGTCAGCCATTACATGACTTACGCAACTATCGCCTAAGTCCAACTCGATTTGCGTTTTTTTTTCAAAAAATGTGAGCGGTTTGTACATCCTTACAACTCAATTTACGCTCACCTACAGATAGTTGTGCTCAGGACCTAAAATAACCCTCAGCTTTACTCCCAAGTCCTCATCAAGTTCAATTTTACACGATCAGGGATGAGTTTCGAAGTCTTGAGCGGTTTTTTGTATGATCGAGTGGTCAGATTAGGTCTTATAGAGGCAGGGCGCCCAAGGCGAAAACGGAATTCCAAAGGTTGCGATGATGTTCCGGTAATCCGCGAGTTCATCGTTGTACAGACGACGTACTGAGCCATCAGAGAGCTTTCCGGCACCAGAGCTCAACTCTGGTTTGGAATCTCGTCTACCAACAGGTGATTTTGGAGCTCTTTCGTCAGCATCAGCGTTTACGCAAAGCTCATACAAAGCCCTTCTCTGCACTCATCGCAAAAGTTCAGCAAATTCAAGATTTCCACTGAACTCTGGAACAATGTGATTTTTTATGCATTCTGGAGCAAAGAATACAGCTTAACTTTTTCGAAGAGCGACAGCTCCAACGTAACAAAAATTTCATATTTCGGTGCTGTAGTTGTACAAAATTCAAAAGAATGTAGTAGTGCCTGAAAATTGGAGGTGGCCTCACAGCTATGACCAGCCTTCGAAAAGATTCTTTGATTGATAACGGTTTTCTGATATTGCGCTTTATGCTTGAGTTAATGCATTGAATAAAATAACGTAAGATATACACATATTGGATATTTTTGGGCTGCGATGACAGCCAGGAATTAGGAGAATCACTAACATTGTAAGTTTAAGACTGAGTAAGTTAGAGGGAACTCGAATGCGTATTCTGCAAATTTTTCAGCGCGTTCACTTGCCCCATATGGCGTCGTCAAAAATTACAAGGGAACTATAATTTAGTCCGTAAAAGGCTTCAGCTACACCAAGATTTACAGCGATCAGGTATTATGCGCAAATACGGATGAGACGCTTAGGAAATTTGGTTTTACTCCTGTATAAGATAGACTTCTATAATATTAATTGAGTTTCAGGGAACTAACTGTCGACAAATTCAGATGTACCACAAGGTACTTTACGCAGCTCACAAATGGCAGAGCTGACACTGTCATATATGAAAACGGATTCTAGAAGACCATAAATTGCAGTGAGCATGTTTGATGAGGCACGATTGAGTGTACTCAGCAATTCCATAATGTTCTGATATTGAAGAAGAGAAATAGTTCGGAGACGGGACTCCAAGATGGTCGATGTTGGCCTCCCTGTATGTAACCAGTCTTCAGTGCAAGCCATGCATCAAAGGTAGATTTTTGGATCTCTTCGATCAAAAAAACTGGTAGTCAGAACATAAATTCTCAAGTATTGAGTCTCTAGGATGGATTGTGAAGGAAATATCATAAGTCAGCACATTTGGTGTAAAGCCCGGACTTGGCTTTGATGGACAAAGAGAAACAGACATTCAATGGCTGGAATCGAGAGGGAGCACCCGCAGAAATGTTCATCATTTTCAACACCTTTCGGTCCCGGGCACACTTCACGCGATTTGATCGTCGCGACTCAATCGCCGACATTTCCATTCATTTTCATTTCACATTCAAAAATTTCGGGCTGGAAAAGTACCACAACCAAAATGCAAGTTGATCGGCATGGAATGATGTTGTAACAGTTGTCTCGTCGCAATTCAGTCGCGACGATCAAATCGCGTGAAGTCTGCCCGGGGCCTTCCGCCGTCAACAACAATTCATGGCATCGTGGTCCTTGAAAGAAATCCGAGAATCAATGACGACCAAAGTGGGTGATGAGGTCGGGCTTGCTACACAAGAACGAATCCACCCTAATAAGAGGTCTTTATGAATTTGAACAATGCTTCATATTCAACATTATCTACCGAAAATGTGCAAAATTTGATGTCGACGATCGCACACCAGCGTCCAGAGCCACGGGTAAGGAAAAGTTGCGGAAGTCCCATTTTTCACTAATAAAAAATAATTTGGATATCATAGGGTACTGGTCACGGAGTTGCCCCTTCTATCCCAGAGCGAACATGTTCTTACCTTGCAAAAACGCTGAGATGGAAAAGGAGAAAGAAATTTGAGCGATCGCATTAATCCAACTCGCTCTGCGACTAAAACCGACTAGACCGCGCGGGGTGACTGAGACACAATGCCTTATAAGAGTCAACAAGTCAGCCTAATTAAAGTATAATCGTCTCCATGATTCGTGTAGAGGTGTATTGCAGACTTTGCTTGATAACACAGGTAAACTTGTTAAACCTCCACGTCATAGCATTGTTTTTTGTACTCTCTCGCTATCAAAAACCGCCACGCTTTGAGTTGGCAAAACCCCGCCTCTACACGAATCGTGGAGCCGATGATACTTATTTATTTATCTACAAAGGCTTGAATTGCTTGTTATAAGGTACCACAATTCATCTCTTGAAGGCAGCGTCCAGCGGATTTGAAGTTCCTCCGGTAACTACAACGAATGACCCTATCACGAATACAAGTCGCATCTTTTTCATTATTGCGAAGAAGCAGCATTCACTATGTCTCGCAAAATGATCGCTCTCTCACACAATTCTTTCAAGTAAACAGCAACAAGGTAAAGAGCAATCTCTGGTGGGTTCAAATTGGTCGAGGTAAGATAAAAACGGGTGCGACTTGTGCTGGTGAGATTAGGTGGTGGAATCCCTTACTAGAGCTACTGCGCAAATCCGGTCTTCAGCACTACTTCTAAAAAGGAAATTTGGCATGCAACTCCTTTCAAATCAAAGCGGGCCTTCTCCCCGAACAGAACTCTAGCCCTTGACACGTTCTCACATGTCATCACAGAACGCAAGCTTATCATATGTTAGTGGTTGCTTTCAACAAGGCTCATGGAATTTGCACTATCCAAATTCCATATTTAGAGTCAGAATTGAAAGGCCTAAATAAAACAAAAAGCGAAGTTGAGAAACTGCTCAAACGCTGCTTTCATCTGGTTCAAAGGGAAAAGAGGTGTCAAGAAAAGCTCAGATGTAAATCAAGAATCCAAAAAAAATTAATGAAGTGATAATAAAAAGAAGTGATAATATGAAGAATTTGCTAAAATGCGAAGAGAAGGGATGGTTTTCGCCCATTTCGGTACTTATACCCAGTGATTGGAAAGCTTTTGCTGGATACAGTTCAGAGCAATTCAAATCTGCTTCTAGGTAAGCACCCAAATCACCTTTTGCGTGCTTCAAGGGAAAAGAGATGCAACAGCATGATGTAAATGCTGCATTGTGAAAGCGTTCGCTTCGAAAATGATGTGTTAAAAATAACAATTAATGCTCTCCGTGTCCTTGGCACTTGGCATGCACTTGTCCAACGTAATTGGATGATTGATCTGCCATATCCGTATAAAGGAGCATACACAATTTTGAAGTTATTTCGAACGGATGCTGTTGCTGTGGTATACAATCTTTGTGGTATGTCGTCTTTTCCACTGCTCAGTTAGAGCTGCATGAATTCAGCTACATGCTCCAACTGCAGCCCGACCATTAGACTGCGAAGGCGGAAATTTTCTTGGACATGACATTAAGGAGACGCTTTTATCGACACTAAATAGCAGAGTTAGTTCTCATCGATCTTGAAAGAAAACGTCTGAGATTCAAAATAGAATTCACTTGTTCGTACTTCAGAAGTACGATTGCGGTTTGGAGAGTGATGCAGGCGGGTTCTTTAAAAGTAATGATTCCAGAAACATGAGCGGTTATCCTTATGTTGTGTACGGGTGAGTACGGGTCCTACTTGCTTCTTTCAGTACTAAATAGTACTCAGTTCAGGTCTGACTGGGAAGCAAGCCACATCGTTGATGAGTTTATTAAATTTAACGGCAATCCGACTCAGGTGAGATTTGCTGTATCCTCTAACTTGCACGGGTGCGTGCCCATCGAGTCTTCATCAACTGCATTAAGCTTAGCTTGATTTCATGAGATGAGAAGCAGAGACTGGTTGTTCTTTCATTGATTTCGCTCAATGACTACGAACATTTTGAGACCGTTACCGTCCGCCTAATGACCTCTTGACGCGCTGTGCAAGTGCGCCACAGTTCGAAATCTCAGGGTAGCTATAGCTAACTTCACGGAATCGCCCATGAAAGTCCGCGGAGTGTCTTTTGCGGGTTGACATTGGCATTCGCGCGCATGAATTATTTTGGCGCCCTACTTGGCAGCCGCGTTGCAGGCACGCTGCGGGCGTTCAGCTTACAGCGATATGATTTAGTGCGGTCGAATTTAGGCGTAGGGCATACTTTCGGACACTCCACCGTAGCAATTCTCATCCCGAGGCATCGAATGCCTCAACATCCAATCGCTTTGAGACTAATCGCATGTCGCTCATCCACCTTTCATAAAATAGCTTACACGTCACATCCAAATGAACTCAAAACAATATCGAGTCAAATCGTGTAACATCTTTCATCTCACTCCTTTTCACACATTGATCTCGCGACGCTAATTATGCTCATAGACGCGTCCACCACAGCATCGTCCGTTGCACGATTGCTGCTAGCCGTGGCTTGCACCCCTGACTGCGGCACGTATGGCTAAGCAAAATGCAATAACATATTGCTCAAGGATGACACACATTGCCGCTAACATGCTACTTACATGCGGGCAACAAGTTGTTGCAATCGACACATTAGCCACACGTACCGCAGTCAAAGATGAAGGCCAATTGTAGCAGCAATCGTAAAGTAAAGTAGTATCACTAAAGCAACAGACAATAACAGTGAAAAACCCTCGAAGACAGGAAACTTCGAAAATGAAGGAGAGCGAAAAATACAAGAAACAAGAAAAAGAAACACTTACGTCCGATCCAGGGCAATTTAATTACGCTTCGTAAATCCAAAGTCAAAAAGAATAAGTGGAAAGGATAGAGAAAGAATTGGATAAGTGAAAAAGTGGATAAGCAATACAGAGTGGTGAGTGGAAATACATAAGCAGCAGAAGCGCAATCATTTGTTGCTATTCGCATGGTGCAACAATTAAAATTAAAAAAAAGACTTGCAAAATCTTTCCAGAAAAAAGAAAGCGACGCGACATATCGCCCGTCGCTGGCGCAAACTTTGCGACGCGATTTTCTTCAGTTTCGGCGATGTCGTGGCAAATCGCCACTAGAGGTATGCCCGTCAAAAAACTGCTCGCGATGGCACGCGATCTGTCGTCCCTACAAACTGGCACGAATGCGGCGGAACCCACTACTTGGGCGCGGCGAATCAGGAACACATGTCCGTGGGTAACCGCGCAGGGAATCGCGTAAGGTATGCCCGATGCCTTAGGCCTAAAGCATACCTCTCGCGATTTTACGAAATGGCCACATCCTCGCGACTTGGCGATTTGCCAGATGTCTAGAGATTAAGCATGCGAGGCTCTCAGATGCATGGGTGCGTAGATTCCGTAAATTGTAACAAACACAGCAAGTCTGACACAAGCAAAGTGCATTTACGACCAGCTGTGAAGAGTCGTTGCAGTGCCAAATCGCGTTGCAACTAAAATCGCGTGAGGTATGCCTTAGGCCTTACGGCTCGCAGGGGTCGCTTCTATACACAAGGCCACCACAGCCACCACGGTTATATAATATTATGGTGGAACTCATTTCTGGCTTCTTGATGGTTCCGCCTCTAGCTTGATCGAGCGAAAATTAGCCAGTCCATTACCTCAAATCTTTGCAGGGAACGAACTTCATTTTACGACATGAGCTTCCCAACACCCATGCCTTGCCCGCGAAAGACGGTGACAGTTCTTTTTCAAAAGAAACCATCTGTTTTTGTAAGAAAGAGAAACAACAAATCTATTTCTTTGCAGCCTGCCCATTTCAAGCATTTGGCTACTTTTGAAAAAACGTCAACGTTGCAAATTTGTTCGGAACTTTATCGAGGAGAGCTTCAACTTGGTTACGAATACTCTACTCTTCCCACGTTTTGGTACCTTTTCGCGAAGTTACATGGGTGTGCGGCAGGCAAAAGTCGGAGTTGCCTGAAATGTAAGACGACACGTTAAAATATGGAAGGAAGATGGCAGCTCTCACGCGGCAGACACGGATACATCGATAATCGAATCTATTGCGATGGCAGACTGCACTTGGCAGATTTGGATGCAGCGATGGCAAGATCTATTGTGTTATTCTGCAACTGCAGCCGTCTACTCTGCAAATGTAACATAACATCTGAAGTGCTCGGAAAGTACATCACCGAGCTTGATCGCCAAAATTAGATTTTAATTTCGTGTTTCCGTAGATAATGTGTTATTGTCTTTGTATTGTTTCTGTATTGTTGTGGCTTAGGGCTCCTTATTAATTTTGTCCGTATAAATACCCTGGCCGTTTTGCCATGAGCGGAGCGAACGGCGGATATGCTTTTTCCACTTTTTATCTTCTTATTCTTCATTAGTCTCTCTCTCTAGTCTCCCTCTCGTAGTGTTATTATCTTGGTAGTATCTTGACACCCTTCCCAGTAGTAAAATTGTAGTTTATAGTTTTGAGTAGTAAAGTATTTAATTTATACGCGTTTTGTAAAATTCCGTTGAGTGGAGTCGGAGCCGGCCGGTTCAGCCGAGGCCCCTCTAGTATCGGACTCGCGTGATGCGGGACTGAGAAAAAGGGGGCGCGGCTGACAGAAACTCTGAGCAAAGTGGTTCGTTGATGTGCTAATTACGAATATGCGTTCATTTTGCATGATAAGGCGAGTATACCAACCCACGAAAATGGAAAATTTCAGATTTTGTTAACCTTGTGTAAGTGATTAGCTGGCATGCTGATAATGCAGATGATATCTCATTAGTGTCGTGCCTCATTGAGGGCTACAGTGGGTATACTGCGTGGGTCGAAATCGCAGATTTTGCTGGAACGTCTGGAATGGTTTCTCGGACGCTAAATATCTGGCATACCATTTGATGCAACCCAAAATCATAAACTTCACAAAATCTTAGCCCGGAAGTCAATCGACCCAATTATCGCGATAGCGATGTTCATTTCCCATGTTAAAACCTTTTTAAGGGGGTTATGAATCTTATATATAAAGCTGAATGTCTGTTTGTATGTATGTATGTATGTCTGTCTGTATGTATGTATGTATGTGTGTACGTATGTTCCGAATAGAAAATTCCATTTCTGAACCGATCCGGACCAAACTTGGCACACATACACTACGGGCCCCGGCGGGTGTCATAGGCTACTTTTCGTCATCGATCGATATCGATTTTATCGATTTTTATCTATCTTTTTGCTGAGTTCACCTACGGGGCTGGGAGTTGGCACAGGGGGGTAATCGAGCATGGGGATTCCGAATACAATATTGGTTTTCAGGATTATCGATTACTTTTATCGATTTTATCGATTTTTTTGCAAAGTTTGAGCTACGGGGCTGGGAGTTGGCACAGGGGGTAATCGAGCATGGGGATTCCGAATACAATATTGGTTTTCAGGATTATCGATTACTTTTATCGATTTTATCGATTTTTTTGCAAAGTTTGAGCTACGGGGCTGGGAGTTCGCACAGGGGGGTAATCGAGCATGGGGATTCCGAATACAATATTGGTTTTCGGGATTATCGATTACTTTTATCGATTTTATCGATTTTTTGCAAAGTTGGAGCTAGGGGGCTGGGAGTTGGCACAGGGGGGTATTCAAGCATGCTGATCATCCCCAAGGGGGGTGATCAGCATGCTCGATTACACCCCTGTGCCAAATTCCAGCCCCCTAGCTCAAATTCTCAAAAAATCGATAAAATCGATAAAAGTAATGGACGATCTTGAAAACTAATATTGTATTCGTAATCTGCATGCTCGATTACCCCCTGTGCAAACTCCCAGTCCCGCAGGTCAAACTTTACAAAAAATCGATAAAATCGATAAAAGTAATGGACGATCCTGAAAACTAATATTGTGTTCGTAATCAGCATGCTCGATTACCCCCCTGTGCAAAATCTCAGCCTCGCATGTCAAAATTTACAAAAAATCGAGAAAATCAATAAAAGTAGCCGATAATTCTGAAAACTAATATTGTATTCAGAATTCCCATGCTCACTTCCCCCCTGTGCCAACTCCTAGCCCTGTAGGTGAACTCTGCGAAAAAATCGATAAAAATCGGTAAAATCGACATCGATCGATAACGAAAAGTGGACTGTGACATCCGCCGGGGCCCGAAGTGTATGTGTGCCAAGTTTGGTCCGGATACGGCGGAGCCGGGTAAGCCAGCTAGTATATTATATGATCTCGAGATCTCAGCTATCAAGATCTCGTGAAGGTCTCAGTTCTTATAGTACAGGGCTAATATCACGAGATTTGCTGTAACCCCCGAGGGTATGGATATGCTGACCATGTTATTGCACTTAAAACCAATTTCTGGGAAATTTTTTTAGTTGCTATTTTCATTCATACTTTGGATGGGTCGGGATCTCAAATCTCAAAGTTTTTTCTGGAAGGTTCTTCAACAGTGAGACGGCTTTTTCGCACGGCAGTCTCTAGCAGCCCCTCTAACAACTTGCCTTAACACATCAATTACGCGTGCGGCAAATCCTCCTTCCCCCCTCTGCTTTGCTTACACTCTTTTTCAACTCGGAGTAGGCGAAACATTCAAGTGGAGCAGCGCGCCTGCACCGACACTGGCTCACCGAAACAGATTAGATTGAAGAGACCTAGACTGCAGGGCGGCGCGAATCGTTGCGAAGCGGACTTCCGCCAGTCCAATTTCCGCCTAAACTGAGTTGAAACTTACTATACAAGGGAATTACCTTCAATGGCCACGGCCTTCGAAATGAAATGCATATCGGCTAAAGCACTTTTGAACAGCGATACCGAATCTGCATTATTCTGCTAAACGCTCTGTAAGGAGTTATGGACACTTGAAAATCCTGTTTTTGGGCGCCCCTCAAGATTGAAGACGCTGCTATGTACATATATTGGTGTTGCAATGGTGTAGTGGCTAGC